GTTTAAAACGTGGGCGTTGTCTTGAGGTGACGAAGTATCTGATTTGGTTGCTATGGCCGTAGGCGCTGCGGAATGAAGCAGTGTATTATGCATCCGGCCACAAGAATCAATTCCGCATGCTTTTTTGAACTGGCAGTTACCTAAATTATGTCCACTTTGGAGACAAGCAAAAAATAGGCGGCGTTGCTTGACGAGTTCCCACCTATTATGTACCGAAAGTGCCTTGAATTGCCGACACAATTCCAGTTGATGCTCTTGATTGCATTTGGCGCACATTGCTTGTTCTCTGTCATCAGCCGGTTCGGATGCATATAACATTCGGCGAGATATGCTTGAGTTATAACTTGGCTGACGTGACGAATATGGAAATGCGGATGTGTGGTGCTTTGACGGCGATTGATTTTGACGCCATGACGTTGTGTTAGCAAGCGGCTGTACTGTTGCGTAAATCGACGGCATGAGACTAACGACTTTAGCTAGATCACTCAGCCAATCCGAAAAGGTTTGGAGAGTAGGATGTGGTGTATTTACTACGTGTCGGCTCCATTCGAATTGCTTCGAGGCTGGCATTTTTAAAACGAGTAATTCTAATAGCATAGGGCTCATCAAGTGTTGATGACAATTGGCGGACTTCAAAAACGCTACAATATTGCGTACCCTGTTCGCAAAGTCGACGATTTGCTCAATATTTCTTTCGCTTATTGTTGGGCACTGTTGTATCTTTTGCATCTGTATGCGTAAAAGTAACTCTGGTCGCCCGAAATTAAATTCGAGCTCCTCTAAAACATGCGATACTTCATCTGGAAATATAAGCAGCGACGAAACCTTTTGCTTAGCATTTCCACACAAAGCCTTTTGCAATCTAATCAAGTTGTGCTTGTTGTTGTAGCCGAATTCTCTGGTGGTGTCAATATAACATGCCTTAAACAAAGGCCAGTCCTCAGGATCACCACTGAAACTGGGCAGCGGATACAATTTAGCAGCGGGATTCTCGACGTATGTTACCGTTCCTGCCATTGGCATAGATGTGAATGATGGGCGGTATTGCTCACAAGCTACTGGCTGATACAGCGGTGGCTGTGCAGTATGCGTTGGTGCTGGCGATGGCACATATTGGCAATGGGATTGCACATTTCCATATAAATTAGGCGTGGATGACAAATGAGTTGAATGTAGCGGTGACTGATTCTGGAAATTGGCGGGAGCACTGTGGTGTGAAAACGGAATTTCTGACGAAGTACCAGCGACGGTAGCAATGACTTGAGGCGACAGAACTTCCGGTGCAGAAATTACTGCAGTAGCAGCGCCCTGGCGTGGAATATAATCTGGGGAAGATTTGGTGACCGCTGTGGAGTACTGGCAGTATGGACTACCTGACATAATTGTAGCAGCTGTGGTCGCTGTATGACCTGGCACAAATTCAGTTGAAGATATGGCGGTAGCTTTCGGATAATGTGATTCAGCTGATGAAATAGCAGCGGTGGCGGCATTGTCTCTTTCCTTCCGTAGTTGCTCGTTGTCGCGACGTAATTCAACAACAGACTCCTGCAGTGCCTTTATACTGGCTACCAATGCTGTAAATTGTTGTTGTGAAATTTGCGAATTCTGCAACGATTCATTTTGTCCCGTAGCGTTGTTCATGTCGACTATTGTGTTGTTCAAGCTATCCGCTTCATCTGACTGTTCCTCTGAGTTTTCTTTATTCTCTTTATCCTCTTTTGTCTTGTTTCTTGTCCGTGTCATGTTCAGCAATCCAAATATATATGCGCGAGTGGAGCGTGTATACAATTGAAATGTGCTAGTTACGAGACAAGTACGGCGAAATTGTCAATTGAATCAACGGCTGGCGATTCCTTTGAATTGCACTGGCTGTGGCCTACGAACGAATGTAAAGCAGCGACAATGACTATGGCGCTGCCTGTGACGATTTCGACAGTGGCACTCGCTGATATGACGAAGTTTCTAAATGAGACAGCTTGACCTGCTGCCATGTGCCGACTGCTATTTTCAACGCTGACTGCGTACGGTTGGGCTTGCTCTTATTTTGTGCGGCTATGCACGACGTTGACGTTGGCGTTAAACTAAGGCAGCTTGACCGCT